ATGCTTTAGCTGTATTTTCTTGGACTTACATGTCGTACTGACAGTTACTCTATAATCAGGCATCAAGCGAGTTTCACACGTTGATGTGTTGTGGTTTATGCTGAGAGGTTTTAGATTCACAACTGAGAAAGGTGCAATCAATCTTTCCATTCAATTATAATAATGCTTGAAAACAAGGTCACAGTATGTTGTATATAAAATCATTATTCACAAATCGAATGGAAAACGCCGGCATCAGTAAGAAAAGGTACACACAAATCTGCGACATGCAAAATCACATCTGTGCAGTGCACATGTAGTTGCTCTAAATGTTGAGCTGAGTTTCTACGTATTCAAAATGGATGTCCAGGCAAATTTGCATTCAAATCAAGATTCAGGAAAGATGGGATGCAATTGTGGCTGGATTTGTATTGCGGTGGCTGGCACTGAAAGTCAATTAGAAGTTTATCATGACTTCCCCACTCTCTCTCTCCTCATGCAACCCCATATTTTGATTAAAATGTGAAAACTCTACTCGAGTAACTACTGGCATATTTTGGGAATGGCCTACAAAATGGTTTTTACACAAATGAAAAATGTTTCTGGAGCCAAAGAATCCGAGCAGCACCTTCTCAAATCAGGATTCATATTTGCCAAAGCTTTAAACTGTTCAGTAATTTAAAATGCAATAAGAGTAAACAAACAGTAGACTGACTCTTTTCTAATTAGCACTTCAGTCAGTGAATACATCATGTGCAACCGCAACAAAGTCTCTGACACCATAGAAGATTTTATTTTCCTTAGTTATGGCCTCATTTGGAAATATTCTTATATTCACCGTTATCTTCAAGCCCGGTATTTTACAGGCTCCATTGGCTTGTTAAATCTTGCTTTTAGGTCAAATCTCCCTATATGGGCAAGGTCATAGACAGATTTTGGTTGACAGCATATTAATGACTCTCAACAGACAGTCAGGTGAGTCTGAGGAAACTTGCACAAGCTGAACTGCATAACTCAAATAATCACCAATAAAAAAATAACAACTGAGAGTAGCAAAGACAAAAAGGTGTGATCACTTAGGAAATGTGTGTGTTAAGCATTATATGCTCACTTTAGGCACATGATCTAAGGATCCTCAAGCTCTAGTTTGTTCCTCATATCCTTATTGACACAGGGAGATGTCTACAACTCCTCAGCCCACTTATCAAACAAGAGGAAAGCTTCGTTACCGCAAAAAAAGCCCTCTGTCAATTTTTAAACATCAGTTTGTTGCAAGTTCTAAAATGTTGTCATGTTGTTCATTTCTTATTGGATCAGCATCTCATCCCCCCCCCCCCCACCCCCCCCCCCCCCCCCCCAGATATCAATCACTACACATTTCCTGTAAATGGAGTAGAGTAAAAAAATAGAAAAAATGTCTAGAACTCTTTCTTCACAGTAACCACTAATGATTCTGACCTCATTATATGACATTTCCTGTTGGTTTCAGCACTTAGATTTTATGTTTATGGTTTTGCAGTTCCTACATCAAAACCCTATAATGTTTTGTGATGTAATTGCATGTCATTATGCTAATATTATTGTCTAAATAAATAATTATTTTGACAATGTTAATGCACCTAAAGCTTTTCTGTAAGGCTCATATTTAACATATATATATATATATATATATATATATATATATATATATATATATATATATATATATATATACACAATCTCACAAAAGTGAGTACACCCCTCACATTTCAGCAAACATTTTAGTATATCTTCTCAAGGGACAATACTATAGAAATGAAACTTGGAGAGAGTAATCAATGTGCTGCTTGTATATCATATATATACTGTCCTCTGATCATAACTCAACATACAGCCATTTTTGTCAAAATAGCTGGCAACAAAAGTGAGTACACCCAAAGTGAACATGTCAAAACTGTGTCCAAAGTGTCAACATTTTGTGTGAGCACCATTGTTATCTAGCATTGCCTTAATCCTCCTGGCCATGGAATTCACCAGAGCTGCACTGGTTGTTGCTGGGATCTTCTTCCACTCCTCTGTAATGACATCACGGAGCTGCTGGCTGTTGGACACATGGCGCTTCTCCACCTTCCGCTCGAGGATGTCCCACAGGTTCTCAATGGAGTTCAGGTCTGGAGACATACTTGGCCACTCCATCACCTTCACCTTCAGTGTCCTCTGCAAGGCAGTTGTCATCTTGGCGGTGTGTTTGGGGTCGTTATCATGCCGTTCGGCCCAGTTTCTGAAGGGAGGGCATCATGTTCTGCTTCAGAATGTCACAGTACATGTTGGAATCCATGTTTCCCTCAATGAAGCAGCTCCCCAGTACCAGCAGCACTCATGCAGCCCCAGACCATGATGCTACCACCACCACCATGCTTGACTGTAGGCAAGACACAATGTTCTTGGTACTCCTTACCAGGGCATCGCCACACATGCTGGACACCATCTGAGCCAAACAAGTTTATCTTAGTCTCATCAGACCACAGGACATTGTTCCAGTAATTCATGCTGTTATACAGGTTGCTTTCAGCAAACTGTTTGCGGGCTTTCTTGTGAGCCAGCTTCAGAAGAGTCTTCCTTCTGGGACGATGGCCATGCAAACCGACTTGTTGCAGTGTGTGGCGTATGGTCTGAGCACTGACAAGCTGACCTTCCGCTTCTGCAACATCTAAAGCAATGCTGGCAGCACTCATGCGTCTGCTTTTTTAAGCCAGACGCAGCTGACGCACAGCACGAGGACTCGACTTCTTTGATTGACCCCCACGAGGCCTGTTCCGAGTGGAACCCGTCTTGTAAAACCTCTGTATGACCCTGGCCTGTACTGTAACTCAGTTTCAGGGTGTTATCAATCTTCTTATAGCCTAGGCCATATTTGTGGAGAGCAACAATTCTAATTCTCAAATCCTTAGAGAGTTCTTTGCCATGAGGTGCCATGTTAAACATCCAGTGGCCAGTATGAGAGAATTGTACTCAAAGCACAAATTTTAACTGCTCTAATACAAGATACACAAATTTTTATGGTCCTGTCAAGCAGACAAAAACATGAACATGATGAATAGGAGATGTGGCTTTGCATGGTTAAACGACGTACTGCTATTATCACTTAGGATGTACTCACTTTTGTTGCCAGCTATTTTGACAGTAATGGCTGTTGAGTTATTTTCAGAGGATAGTAAATATACTGCTATACAAGCAGCAAATTGACTACTCTAAAATATATCCAAGTTTCATTTCTATAGTATTGTCCCTTGAGAAGATATACTAAAATGTTTGCTGAAATTTGAGGGGTGTACTCACTTTCGTGGTATACTGTATATATATATATATATATATATATATATATATATATATATATATATATATATATATATATATATACACATACATATTGATAGATGGATGTTTGCTGTGCACGCCTAACTCTTTTTGACAGATGTGCAAGCTTGCTAACATTTTGGAAATGTTTTGTTAAAAGTCTTAGATGCTCTTTGCTTTTTTATATGCACGTGTGTGAGTGTAGAGCTGAGAGATAATATCATCCATATAGCTAATCTATTCTCCTCCCATACCCACAAAATGTGTAAATGTGCCACTCCTTCCTGTTTCAGTAATATCGCTGCCTATGAAGCATCAAGTTTAGCAGTCATGTATGCTGTGACTCCAATGTGCAAAGAACTGCGTGATGACACTTATACATCTTTCATTTACAATTATTCCAATTATTCACAGTCACAGTTTCATTAGCAGTAGCCTATTCATGTGAACTATTGGCTGAGCAGCCATTGAGAACAAATACCAAAGAGGATAATATTAGTAAAATCAGCTATTTCTGTTGTAATTGTATCTAAAGCCTAAATGAGCAAATAATCTTGAGCTGACCAACTGTTTTTTGCATTTGAATCTTATTGGTAACCTAATGGATTTCGGTATTACATTGGTGGTGGTTGAGGAGATTCCCCCTTCCATGTAAAGCGCTTCGAGTACCCAGAAAAGCGCTATATGTAACAAATTATAATAATAATTATTATTAGGCCTTTTTAAAAATTAATTAATGAGTGTCAGAATCACTAGCAACATTCACACTCAAGTTGTTGGCGTTGCTTTACTAAGCATTATAGCTACATATGCAAACAGAAGGATCTTGAACATATGTATCTGAATCTGTCTCTGTGTTAATTTAACATGAACAACACATTTTAATGCTTGTGGCCTCACTTGCCTGAGAAGTGTTCGTGCGTAAACTACGGTAAACTATGGTCATTGCAGTCTGCATTATTTTACAAACTGCGCCCTCCCTAGAACAAAACAGGAACTGCGTCACAAAATGCATTTTTCAGCCTAGGGGAAATGAATCCATACGATACAGAGTTATATCGCAAAGAGATAGAGATTAAACACAAAGTTATATTTATGATAGATAGATTGATAGAAGATTAGGATAGATAGATAGATAGATAGATAGATAGATAGATAGATAGATAGATAGATAGATAGATAGATAGATAGATAGATAGATAGATAGATAGATAGATAGATAGATAGATAGATAGATAGATAGATAGATAGATAGATAGATAGATAGATAGATAGATAGATAGATAGATAGATAGATAGATAGATAGATAGATAGATAGATAGATAGATAGATAGATCAGATAGTTAAGATAGATAAAGATAAGATAGATTTGTAGTTTCTTGAATTACCACAGCTTGACCATTGTGCAGTAAATAATCGTTATAGTGAAATTATAGTGCTTTAAAATATAATTTTGATGCCAGCAGAGGGCAATCACACCCATCAGTCAGTGAGGGACAACAGCAAAAGGGGCTGTGACTCCATAGACCCCTATTGAGAGGGAGCAGCCATCCATAGCTTTGCTAAGAGAGCTGCTCTGTGGCCAACAGGATTGCAGAAAACAGAGCCTTTTGGCACAAGGGATCCCAAACTGCAGCAGTGCCTTCACCAGGGTCTACACTTCAGCCTCTGCAGACTGTTTAAAGTAGTTTCCTCTGATTTGTATATTACTGGACTTTGAATTGAAGATGGGGAGTAGATATTATAAACTGATTTATTTTATGACTCTTACTTTGCTTCTGAGTGCTTGGGCTTCAGAAGAAAAAAGAGGAAGGCCAGGGCAGAATGAGGAAGACAAGACATCCGTAGGAGAGGATAGTTTTGATCAAGATGATTCACAAGAAAGCACGCAGCAAGAAGAACTCCTCACTCTGGAATATGAAGATAAAGGATCCATGGGCACACAAACTACAAGTCATTTGCCCTTCACAGATGTGCCCAATTCTTCACTGGCTGAAATTGGAAACAGCACTGACATGACTGCTAAACATGTCCCTAGTAGCAATCCAACAAAAAGGAGCATCACAAAAATCCACAATCCTTTGTTTCCCGTCACTGACAGCTCTTACAGCGCCTATGGGATTCTCTTTCTGGCTTTTGTGGTGTTTGCCTTCGGCATCGTGGGTAATCTGGCGGTAATGTGCATTGTTTGGCAAAATTACTTCATGAGGAGCGCATGGAACTACTTTCTTGCGAGTCTGGCTTTTTGGGATTTTCTGGTGTTGTGCTTCTGTTTGCCTGTGGTGGTCTTTAACGAACTCACCAATAAGAGACTGCTGGGGGATTTCTCTTGCAGAGTTGTGCCTTACATAGAGGTGAGGCCCAAGTCTTAAGTTTACTTATAATTGTGATCTTTTTCACATGGTTTAATTTACCTGAAGAATTTAAAAGTGTCCAAAGTTTAGCCAGTGCCAGAGACACCATTAGTTCTGGATTACTAACACTACAAACCCTGTAACCTAACCTTTTATCTTTAACTTCAATGTTTTCATATAACATGCAGATTGAACAATTATAAACACCCAAGTAGAATATATCTAAAAATCCTTAAAAATCTTTATGCACATCTATGATGATTATTTATAATAATAATCAAAATATATGTACTACTGCTGTTTGGATTTAAATAGGTAAATGCTTAAGAGTCAAGGATTGGATTATTATTGCAGTGATTATTATGTTTCTAGCATTTTATATGTTTGGCAACAGTTCTTCTAACCTGAATTGATGGAGCGTGTAGCTTTTCATTTCTTAAACCACCATGTAGAAAGACGTATCACGGCCATATTCCTGGATGACAATGTCAAGATTCAGGCTCAAACTGTGAAAGAATGGTTGGGAGAGAGCATGAAGAATCATTTTCACACATTAATTGGCACCTCTGAGTCCAGACCTTAAATTTATTGAAAGTCTTTGGGATGTGCTGGAGTAGACTTTACAGAGTGCTTGACTCTTGCATTGCCAATACAAGGTCTTGACCAAAAATCCATGCACCTCTTGATGGAAATACCATCACAACATTTATTTGCAACATTAAGTGCATCAGTTTTTGGTTTGGTCAAGATCCAAAATAATTATCGCCTTATTGGTATTGAAGAATTTTTTTATCTGGGTGCATCCCTACTAATTCATTTTGAATGAATCTCATGAATAAAATAATGGAAAACACAAATATCTATTATAACAATAATGTTTTTTTGCACACCCTCCAGGTAACATCTCTTGGTGTGACAACCTTCAGTCTGTGTGCTTTGGGCATTGACCGTTTCTACGCTGCCACAAGCTCCCTGCCAAAGGCCCGGCGAATTGAGCGCTGTCAGAAGGTCCTGGCCAAGCTGGCCGTGGTGTGGATTGGCTCCATGGTGCTTGCAGCTCCTGAGCTGCTCCTGTGGCAGCTGCATCAGGTGACTTCACCTACTCTTGGTGACCAAGTGGACACCTGCATCATGAGTCCATATCCAGATCTCCCTGAATCCATCTATTCTCTCATTATCAACTACCACGACGCACGCATGTGGTGGTACTTTGGCTGTTACTTCTGTCTACCTGTTGTCTTCACCCTGCTCTGTCAACTGGCCACCTGTCACGTGTCCGGCGGGAGCGGAAGTTCTCCCAAGCGGCCAGAGGAGCGATCCCTGTCCAAAAAACAAAAGCTTCATCACGCTCATCAGGTCGAACGGCAGCTCAACTGCACAGTCATGGCTCTAGCGGTGGTCTATGGTGTCTGTACGCTGCCGGAGAACGTTTGTAATCTGACCCTGGCGTACGCTCCCATCCAGGTGTCTGAGGAGGTGTCTTCTCTTCTGGCCCTCATAAACCAGTTTTTCCTGTTCTTTAAGTCATCCGTGACGCCAGTGCTGCTGCTTTGCCTGTGTAAATCTCTGGGACAGGCCTTCATGGACTGTTGCTGCTGCTGCTGTGAAGAATGCCAACCAAGCAACTCTTCATCCACCCAAAATGTCGCTGAAGGCAAGCTCAAGACCACAAATGATGTCTCCTCCATTTTTTTCGACAAAGCCAAGGACAGTTCAACCATTTTGTCTATTGGAAGTTGAGTAGGGGGATCCTGTCCCTAAGTGATGACATCATGGAACCACACTTGCAACATATCTTCTTCCCATCGTCCACAAGTGGCCATCTTTACATTTGCAGTTCTTACTGTTATGTTGGAGCAAGTTAGCATTGTTCTGATCTGAGGCCAGTTTGAAATTCTACATGGTTTAATTACATTCTAAGCTTGGCATCTAAAGACTAATTCATTCTTAGTTATGAAAAATGGCTCAATGTACCTATAAAGTCTTAAATGGATAATTCACCCAATCATTTACTCACCATCCAAACCTCTATGAATTTTCCGTCTTCTGTTGAACAAAAAAGAATATCTTTTGTAAATGTCTAAAAAAAATGTTGTCCATACAAAATCATAGTCAGTGGGGTTCAGTGTTGTTTTGGACCCCACTGACTTTCATTGTATGGACAAAAACAGTGAAAAAATGGAAACATACTGTACAGGTTTGGAAAAACAAAACGATGACAGAATGAACTATCCCTTTAATATATCACCAGGGTCTCCACTTTAAGTCATTGTAATTTTGACTTCAAATGTCCCACAATCATACTCCTACTTTTATGTACAGACACATATACATTTTACACATAGCTCCAAGTGTATAAATATTTAGCTAAACACTGTGAGATCAGAAATGCAGTGAATACTACCATATCACAAATAACACATAATCTTGTTCATATGATGACAAAAATGTAAGGAGTATTTGTCTGTTACTCAGGCAAATGTTATTTATCACTTATTTTAATTAATGCCACTTTTTCATAACCACTGAACCATTCTTCTACATTGTTGATTGTCAACTTCTGTACTGTATATAAACACTCAGCTGTATTAGAATGTAAATAGATCATTTTTGAAAGCAAAAACCCTGAGCAAACTAGCTTTTCAAGCCCTGTTATGTAGTATGGTAATATGAAAAGACAGAAATTGAATGGCGAATCTCGTCAAGGGACTATTGAAACTTTTGCACATAGTTGCTTTCATAAGCAAATTCTTTAAAAGTTCATAAACAGTTTATCAAACTCTATTCAATAAATGCCTTTAAATAATTGATGTTGTCTCATTCATCTTTGAAATTGCAAGAAATGGTGTCAAGAGTTGTACTAATCTCTCAAATGTCCATCAAGGCCTGAGGGAGAAGATTTGTCCTCGCAGACTTGGTTTGTTCATTCCCATAAGGTTCCTATTGTTCTGAAAAGGAGATGGAAGCTTCTACTGTGAATATCAATGCCCAGACTACGGCTGAGTTGCCAAGATACCGTCGAAAAAATTCACGTGTTTTTTCCAGAATGGCCAAATGTGAACAAAAAACCCACTTGGATTTGTCACCTTTTCTTGTCAATGAGGGAATCAAAGAATTTGTCAATAGTACAACGTTTGTAATGCTTGTCATGTTCGTCGGTGTGCTGCTGACCAGTGCACGTGGAAGCAAGTATAGACACTCAAAGGAGTCATTAGTCATATAAAAGAAGTGTTTTTGCAGACCGGATCTCGAAAAACTCATCTTCAAACTGATCATCTAACATTGACGACCGTGAAAGATGATAATCCGAATCAAATGTCTGGGTTAGACCGACATGTGTGCTCCTGCTGGGGTTGTTGGGCGGGGGGTTGTGGTTTTGGCTAACACTCAGAGCCTGTCAGAGATTCAGAAGACAAGTGAGAGAGGTAGAGAATGGCCTCATTAGAGAATTGAGCAGGGCTTTAAGAGAGGAGCTCCACTGGCCATAATGACTGAAGGAGAACAGACGAGGCTCTGTTCCCTGTAATGAAGTTTGTGCCACAAATCAACAACTCACCTCACAACACTCCATGCCAACGCGACAGGAAGTATTATACTACAGTAAATCATCAAAATGAAACAAAACACATCCATTAGGAGAGGTAGTTCTGACGTTCATTTTTGGATTTGGGAAGTAAAATTGGTATTTACTTCATGTTAATTCAATTGCATTCAAATGTACTTCGTTTCACTGTTCAATTAAGCATGACAGCTTTCACATTTGTTGTTCAATGCGGTCTGTCAAACAGTCAGCAGTATGTCATGAGTTCTTATTGAGGTAACTTCCAGGACTGTCAGTTTGGGTTTAACATGTAGAAATAACTTTTGATATCATTCTTATTAATATTTATATATTTTTAAAAGTGTCCTTTTTTTTATGGTTTTCTGACAATTTCGTTTTTCTATAGTTGAATAACCGATTAGCAGAATCCCAGTAAAAGAGAAGGATCTAAAAGGTTTAACTTATAGGCATATTAATATACAGTATAATTGCCCATAGCCTGCATAACTGAAGATATGTCATAATAGCAACATTGTGAATTCAAATGGTTTTTTACTTAATTAGCCTACAGAATTTAATGAATAGTGAAAATGTCTGATATGCTTTTAAGAAAAGCATTGCCATTAATTCAATGTTTTGAGATGGGATTTTGTGCCATCTATGGTCAAGAGAAAAATTAAGATGGAGGGATTGGGTCATACCCCATCACTCATCTTTCAGTCGACAAACATATATTTGTCGTCATGCTCCAAAACTCTTTAGACTGAGAAAATAAAGTGGGCTCAAGATTAGTTGTGGTTTATTGGCCAACACAAAACGACAGAATATTTTCAAACGTTAAGCTAAGGGCTACAGAAAACAATTCTAATTCAAAAGATGCACTTCCAAATGCAGATAACGCCTACGTTGGCAATTTAGCCTGTCTGTGTACAAAATGCATGGTTTAAAAGGATTTGTCACTAAAGTAATAAAAATAAAAAAAGGAAACCATGGATAGCAACAGTGTAAAAAAAAAAAACTTAGTTAAATTTGCAGAAAAAAAACTGTAGTTGTGGTGTCCTAAAATTTACTGTAAAAAAAATATGGTAGCAATGTTTTAGGTTTTACAGATTACAGAACAGTCAAATACTGTATTTCATTAACTGATATTAATTTAATTTACCAATATATTGAAGAAGTAGGCTAATATCTGTTTTGTACCTGTATAATTACTGACAACCACCAAACACAGTGGTGCTGAAAGTCACATGATGAATCATAACTCATCACAAGTAGCTTTTCCACAAGTTGAGAAGGTCAATTAGAATGTGCACAGTGTCATTCACACAAACACTAAACACCATCATGGTAAAACACATGACAATAAAAAATTTAATAAACGTAAATTTACCAACATTAGAAAATCAATATATCTCTAAAATAAAATCTAAATGTCTATAACTGATTGGAAAAACTAGAAACTAGTTATTTCAACAAAAATGCATCACATGAAGTGTCATGCATGGAATTCTGGGAATGTCGTTTTTCACTGTAGATTATACAATGATGTTCTTTTTCACTTTTAAAAAACTGTAAATGTATGGTTCGATCTATTACAGTTATTCACCGTATATAGTAACAGATAATTTTCTGTTAACCAATTCACTGTTTATCACTGTAGCATTTTTACAGTCTTTTAGCGTTAAAATCACGATCATTTTTTACAGTGAATAATAGTAACACCACATGATCTTGCTTTGGTACATATAATTGAGCTTGTAAGACATTACCTTTTTCCATATTTATGTTTTTCAAACATTTCTTTAAATTAATGTATTGTAATATATTCTAAAATAATGTTTATTATTACTTTATGGGTTAGGTTTCTCCCATTCCCAGGGGCAAACACCACACACATTTTCTTGATATTTCTACAAATTTATGTTGCAATGTTGCATATCTCAAAACGAACTAATGATTCTTTCTCTATGGTTTTTCATGAAGAACCTTTAGCATCCATGGAAACTTTCCATTTCTTAATAGTGGAAAAAGTTTCTTTAGATTATTCAAATATTCTTCACACTAAGAAAAAATATATATTTTAAGAACTGTTAAAGGTGGAGTTCTGAAAATGGTTCACTACGAAAACCCTCTACCCTCATTTTTAAGAATGTGTGCTCCCTTGAGAGTCAGTTCACTTTACATTTTGCACCGAATGTGCATTAACAGACGAAAGCCTCAGAACTCGAACCCCAGCTACTGACACTTCTTTAGTTCTGAAGGATGCACTCATCAAATATTTGTGTGTCTTTCAGAGCTATTTTGGCATGGCCAAGATGACAGGCTGGTGGGGTGAATCCAGGGCTTCCCGTTTCAAGTCACCCTCAGCAGACGTGAGACAGTGGTGAGTGTCCTGTATGCGGACTCTCTCTTATTCTCAGACTAAACTCAATGAGGAAGGACTAATATGACCTGAATGTCCTGCACTTCTGAACAGAACGCTGTCTCTCCGCGCCTTGTTAAGGGACAATGTTTGTTTTGTTTCACAGAGTTCTGAGAGGGGGTGGAAGGGGACGGGGGGTCCGTGAGAGATTCAACACAGTTGCTGTGGCAACTAGTTTTGGCCCCTTGAGTACACTAACATACAAATCAGGGTCTGGACTGAGGTCCTGGGCACAAAAAAACAACGCAACCGGAGCCATGGACCACCGCGAATAGAAGACAGGAAATGCTAGTGAGTTTCATTCTGATTCACTAAATCATGATGCCAGTTTAAGGATAGAAAAAAAAGTTTTCCATTGCACTTTCTTGTCATACTTGTGTATTCAAGGCACTTGGCAATCTAAAAACCAGAGTAGGTACTGCAGTGGCTCCCGGGGAGGCCACATTTCCCTGCTTCTCGAGGGCTCAGGACATCTCAACCCTTTTTTCCCCTTCCTGTTGTGTGCCAAGGTTCCAATAGAGAACAGAATTGCACTGTGTGAATAAACCGCACAGTCCGTCCAACAATTACTTTTGGTTGTGAGAAACAGATCACAAAACAGAAGTAATATTCAGTTCAAAATCATGGGATATTTCATTGGTCAGTTTTCTTTCAATTTAATCTCAAGTCTTCTTACTTTTAAGTCAAATGTTGCAAACTTCAATATAGTCAGAACAGCAATAGTTGTTGATGCAATACACAGAGGAAAAAGTAATGAAAACGTTTTTCCTCACTTTGTGTTAGAAAAACTAAACTATCATATTCTCAAAATACGAGGACGTATATCTATATATCTTATATATACAAGACACGTCAAAATATTATATGTAGGCCTATACAATGCCGTTCAAAAGTTTGGGATCGGTAAGATGTTTTATGTTTTTAAAAGAAGTCTTTTGTGCTATAGCATAGGACAGAGGAAACGTCGGTCCTGTCCTGCAGAGTTTAGCTCCAA